AAAAAATTCATAATTCTTGCTAGGACATGCACTTTTTTTTTTCTTTTCTTTTTTTTTGTTTTTCCCTAAAGACTACTCTCCCACTGAAAAATGGTGGGGGAAAAGATGACAAGACAGCATTTTAAGTTTGGGGGAAGTGAGCTGCGGTGACAGCAAACAGGGCCCCAAGAGAATGACAAGAAGCAGCCATCTACGTAAAGCAGACAGGTGGCTTCACTCCCAGCTCTCATTTCAGACATGGCCAGGTCAAAGAAAGCGCCGACAGATGCAGGTAAAACCTCACAAATCCTGAAGGCAGATCTTAAAAGTTTTTTCTGAAAGACAGCATGAGTGGACGGGAAGAACATCCAGATCCCACGGGACAGAAGGACTCCCACACATGTGCCAGAAAGCAGCAAATCCCCAGGACGGCATCAGTCAGAGCCTGGAGGCCCACACAACCACTGAACATCTCTTTAGTGTCAGATGGGGCTCAGCATTTGAACGACTGAGTTGTCCTGGCAGAAGTGTCTCTTTAGCAGACTGTGCCCATACAGGAAAAGACATTCTCCATCTCCACCCATTGTGATGCAGACGATGGTTGCCATCACCTGAGGATGACGGGGCAGTCCCGTGGGCCAATCCATCTGATTGGATACACAGCTGTGAACTTATACATCATCATTAAGGCTGCAAAGTCAAGCAGCAAGAGGAGGAATTACCCGAATAAAGGCTGTCAGAGCAATTTTAATTCAGCCTCCTGGCGGATATGCCTTCTGATGCAGTCTTTAATTACCTCATCACAGCCTACTTTTTCTTCAACAAGACTTCTGCTTCATTCAGGGCACAACAAACAAACGAACAAGCAATTAAAAAAGGGTCAGTCAATATTTTCTTGTCTTTTTTTTTGTTCAGTGTGTAACTCCAGGCATTACTTGCTGCATGCCATCAAGTTCCCTGCTCTTAGAGACAGAGCTATTCCTCTTCTCCTGGATTTCATGAGTATCGGTACGTCAACAGAGAGCTTCCCACATAGGAATGGATTTCTTTTTCTACATCCCAATGAGCAGAGGGCCTGAGTTTTACCTGGTACAGAGATATTCTGCTGGCCAGCTGGGATTTTTCAGGGTACTTACGAGGTGTCTGTTCAAAGTCCAGCTCCTCTAACCTTTGTCAGAGCCAAAAGCACTCAGCATGTCCATAATTTGGACCTCAGTGAACACAGAGAACCAGAAACATGGGACTAGCAGCTCTCAGAAAAACGAGTCAGCAGTTTGAGAGGCAATAGCAACTTCGCTGACGCTGCTGTTCTGAAGCACAGCTCTGCTGCACAGTCAATGAGCCAGGAGGGAAAGAACAGAGCAATGTTGGCGTGGGCAAAGGCCTAAGGCAGCACAAGGTGACTTGCATTTGCAAATTTTTGCATGGCAAGGTTTCTGTTTTCTTTTTTTTTAACAGTTGCACTCTGCTTTTTCTTCATCACCTACAAAAATTTTGCCTTTTATACCAAAGATTTCAGTGGAGGCAATTTTTTGCTCTCAACACAACCAGTGCTAACACTTACTCTGGCACAAGTAGAGAAGTGTGCTCAGGACAGAGACACAGCAAGAGAAAGAGCTGCTTGTGTCTCTGACAGCATCACAGGGAATCCCATTCAAATTCTTCCCAGTGAGTGCAGCAGAAGCAGAATTTGTTGGCCGCTGAGCAGCATAAAACAGCACTGCAAGAAGAGGAGAGGAAGGGCATGAACTTCCATTGCCAACCAAACAGCTGTGCTCTCCTGCTCTGTCCCCACTTAACTCGGCCTTGAAGAGATGTCTTTGTGTGCTGGTGGACTTTCCTGAGCCTTTCTGAAGCACACTGAAGTGGCAGCACTCTGTTCTCCAGCAGCTTCTGTAGGCAGCACACAGGTCTCACTCTTAGAAATCTATGGGCCTATCGGTTTATCACTCCAGAAAGTGTCCAGCATTTTCAGCAAGGCTTTTAATTCATTAGCTCACATATGAAAATATTCTAATCTTCCTGCCCTCCCCAGCTGAGCCATTGATGCTTTCCTATCTTGCTGCAGACATATCACCTTCAGGAAAATAATTGCTTAGTTTGCTGGTAACAATGGACATTATCTTTCTGAACTAAGTGTTCATTTAGGATCACGGGGTCCTTGCAAGAGTAGGACTGTGGGATACACTGGGGATACCACAGGTCCAACTGTAGATCCAACAAGTTGGATTCACTTACATGCACATAAACACCTTATAAAGATACAGCTATCCCTCTTTCCATCTTGGAATAAGCTTTACAAGTGCTTGGCCTCACAGTCAGTTCTTGCCCTGTAACCAGAGCTGCAGTTCTTGTCTCTTGCACCAGATGATCCTAATTCACTGAACTGCCTGCATCGTCTGTTCTTCAGTATAGCTGTTATCAGGGCTAAAGGGGCCTGAAACTGGGCACTAGCAAATACTTGCACCAATTTTCAGGACCATCCCTTCCTTTCTGCGCCTCAGTTTCCTTCTGCACACCACAGTGATAACAAAGTAAACATTTCCTTCTTTAAGGTCCTTCAGTCAAGAGGTACTCTGGAAGTGATTCAGGTTGCTGTTATTTCCAGGGCTATTCTTATAACACATTTGGCTGCATTAATTTCCTCAAACAGAAATCATTCTGCCTGCAATAGACTAGGACAAAGCAGCCAATTAGTTGTCTCTTACACGTTTATTAACTCTGCAGCTTTCTTTCAATGAGTATGTGGAATCTGGTAATGTTTTAATATATTTTCATAAACTATGGTCACAACATGTCCAGTCATCAAGCTAATAACCTTACCATGTAATTAGTCCCGATTATAGAGATATTTAGTATCATTTTATATATTCTAGTCCTTTCCTAATGCCACTGCCCAGCCAAGGCAGATTTAAAACCACAGCTATCTTCCTCCTCCTACCCAGCAGTTTGCAAGGTTTTCTTGTGCACAGGTTTGCAGTAAACATGACAGCTTCAAAGAAGATTTCATTTCGTTCGTGTACTTTTAATAATGTACACAGGCTCTGATCAAATGTCAGGTGACAAAGACCCACGAGACAAATAGAAGGCATTTGTCTACTTACAAGGAAGACCAGCATTTGAAAGCTATCAGGAAATTAACAACATGAATTTTCAAAATCTATTCCTAAAACATCTGTTGGCTTTAGGCTGAACATTTACAGTATTTAGGATTTTAATGTGAGGTAGAACCCCCCCAGACAAAAGATCCCTCACCCCATTAGATTCTGGTGGGGGGAGAAGAGAAATCTGCTCTGTTCAAGTCGATTATAGATGTGTATCTTTCCCTGCTGGCATGGCTGTCTCTATAGAGATGGACATGGATATTTGATGAGATTAAAATGCTTCAGTTACCACTGTAAGTGCTTCTTTAATTTAAAACGAAGAAGGCAAACAAACATTCTTTTTGATGAGGTAACTGAATGATGCTACGGAAAAGCACTTTGCTGTCAGGTGGTAATTAGGTTCAGTAATAGCTGTGGGTTTTTAGCCTTGGAGGTTGCAGCCCCTGGGAATCTGAAAGAAATGATACATTCAATTTCCAGAGGAAAGGAAGATGCTGGATGCTTTTCTCTGCTAACCCTGCAGGTCTCTGCAGATAAGAGCATTCAGAGCTGCAGCGCTGACAATCCTCCTTGAGCCAGCCTAAACTGTTGTGTCGAGATCACGAACACAGAATGGAAGATGGACCCAAAATAGGGCCTTTAAACACCTAATGCAGTCAGGCTGGCTCGGCCTGTATGCATAAGGAACTGCCAGAATGGCTGCACCAAAAGGATTTTTAAAGTCTGCTGAAGTGTATTCCAGCAATTGCTCTATGGCCTGGGCTGATAATTGTAGCATCCATCTTACGCATCAGTGGAAAGTCTTCAGTAGGAAAGTGTTTCTTTGTAAACAAGAAACTATTATCACAGGTATTTTTTTAAGGGGAAAAAGAGGGGAAAAGAAGGGAGTGATATTCAAGGGTCATCTGCAGTCCTTGCTGGACAGGAACAATTCCATTTGGAACTGGATTTTCCATTGTAAATATAAATTATGCTTGGCTGTGGTATTAAAACAAACAATTCCAAACTTTCCAATTGATCTAAATGCACTTAATTGGAAATTTTGAGTTTGGAGGCAAAAATGCTCCATCCTCTGAACAGAAACAAATTCTGAACATGGTGTTTCCCACGCAACAGGAGTTCTGGTTCCTGGTCAGCTTCTCTCTTCACATTATTACCCAGCTTTGTCTGTTCAAATAATGGCAATTCTCAATCAGCACTTCCGTAGTACAGCCACTGCTGCTCATGCAAGGTAAGACACTGAAAGGACATCAGTGGTCCAACACCACGCAGAGGGCCAGCAGCACTGCAGAGAATAGAGCTTGGGCATTTAAACCCTCTCTTCATACCTGTGTGCCTTCTTCTCTAGTGGCCTTACTTCATGTCCAAAAACAGAGACACTTTGGGACAAATAGCCTACACTGGCTGTAAAGCTGGATTAGGGATTCACAGTGAGGGGGAAACCTGGTCCTAGCTGTAGGAGAAGCCTGCCATCCAGCTGTCAGCACAGGTCCAAAGTGAAATGAAGAACGCTGCCTTCAGCACAGGCTTGCCAATAACCTCCTGAAGCACTGAAAAAGTTTTTCCTTCCAGAACTAAAAGTTTTCAAAATAAAGAGAGTCTGATTCTCCTCTCACTCTTGGGAGATAAACGAAGGGTAAGTCCATTAAAGATACTGGTGTGAGATTGGTGTACAGCAGACAGAATTCAGGAAAGATATTGATATCTCCCAAATCCCCTGAATATTTTTTTCAGGCATAAACCAGGTATCTTTCCTGATCATAAATGCTTTATTTCCGAATGGAATTTTAATAGAATAAGCACAGTTAGACTGGCATCCTTATTATAAAGCCATAATGAAGGAGCACTGAAGTTTAGTCATGAAAGGCATGAAAGAAGCAGCCCCACTAAAGCAAAAGAAAATGCTTTCTGACCTACCGAATTTTAGGAGTTGCTGCCAGTGGTCTTTCCACCAAGGAGTTCAGCCTGTAATAGTCCAAGAACGTCCTGGCCACATTCCTTCCAAGCTTCATATCTGTAGGTTTTTAATTAAGGAGTATTTTTGGAAATAATTAAAGATATTAATAATAAAACCACATAGTCCAGAGGTAAATTACTGCTATTTGACGCACGAGCAAGTTTACATTAGCCATCCCACAGTCCTTAGACCTCAGGCAAAATGACTTACATAAGCAGACAAAGCAAGGGTCATCTTGTTTTCTTCTTCTTTTCACAGGTAGATGCTATATAAAACTCGAGACAAGAGGAAACAGTCTCTCTTCCCCTTTACACTTGGCTGCAGATCCCCGTGTTGTTCATGAAGCAACAGACTAGACCAAGCAGCCTTCCAATTTTCACGCTCAGGGAAAATAAATACCTAAAAATGTTTGGACACAGGTGACATTTCTGTACTTGTCTCCAGGAGACAAGGTCAACAACGTCATGGTACAAACCAGACATGTACCAGTATAAAAATTTAACACTGGGATCGGAGCTGTAGCCCTTCACCTTTAGCGTGGAGCTCCCACGCTGTCCTAGAAGAATCTACAGTTCTCTAGTTGTGTTGTACTCAGAAGCTAAAATGATGGTTTAGCACTGATCTAGAAGAATGTCTTGGACAGCTGTGCATTACCTTCAGGAAGTCAGCAACAACACTGGGGCTCTTCTCCCCTTGCTGGCCACGATTTCTGTTTTGGCTAACCCTGAACCCAACACTATACAGATGAGCTGCTGAAGAGACTTTGAGGGTGCCTGAACCTCCTGAAGACTCTGTTGCCTAAAAATAAGCTGAATAACCCATGACTGCATAAAAAAATAATACCCAAGATCATATATTCATTGGGTGAACCTCTTCCCTATGTGAAACATCAGCATTAGACCTGCCTGTTATAGAGTGGTCCCTGCTTATCCTCTGCATGATGATGTTCATCTGGAAGAAATGCAATGGATGTCATTATCCATAGCTGCATAGCTGAGGACTCTTTTAATTGCTTATTTTGACCTGATGCCTACACACACTGCAATAACCATGTGATTTTCAAGAGTGCTGTCCCAGTTGGTCATCACAGCAGCCATTTCAGGATTTCAGGGGTGTTAATGCAGAAGCTGAAGTGGACATGCAACCTGGGGAACTAAACATACTTCTGCATCTGACATCCAGCAGTCTAGGAAAAGAAACCATTTCTGGGTTGTTTTGTGCGCATGTGTTCACATTCCGTTACACCAATAGTTATCTGCTGATGTTTCCATTAGAGGAAAATTCCAGAAGTGCAGCATCCCAGGGGTTTCCAGCAGCGGCTGTGAAGACACTTGCTTCTAAATGAAGCTTTTAGTACCCGCCCACTTACATTAGACACATCAAAACAAGTGAGTATGAGACATCAGGTTCAGGCATCGCTGTGAGCTGTTTATCATTTATTTATTTATTTAAAAGAGAGGTCAAACTGACATGACTCAGTCTCTAGCTCTAGTTCTTCAACCAAAAACTATCAGCCAGCCACCAGCTCTGCTGGCATTGCTAGTAAGCCCTGATCAAGTGGCTGAGGATGACTCCTGACGCTAATTTTCTCCCCCCATTATCTGGTTCCACTACTCTAGTTTCCGTTCCAGTGTCTGGGGATGATTATAGGGATCTATTCCAGGCACACTAATTGCCATTCTAATACGATGCACACTGTAGGCACCTATGTTATTGGTTCCCCAGAGAGGTGATAGATGCCCCATCCCTGGAGACATTCAAGATCAGGCTGGACAGGGCTTTGAGGATGAGATCAAGCTGTAGGTGTCCCTGGTTAGTGCAGGGGAGTTGGACTAGACAGCCTTTAACAGTCCTTTCCAGCTCAAACAAGTCTATGATTCTACAGTTGTTCTGTCCAATGGTACAGCACAGCCCAAGCAGCTGATGTTCATGGCTGCTGTCTGCATGGACAGAGTAGCGGTTGGATGGGGACATGAGCTGTGGCAATACCTGGTGAGCTTCCCTGCAGCTTGCTGGCACCAATGGATGAGGATAACCATACGAGCTCAAAAGTTCAGAAAGTTGGAGGCAGCTTAAAGTTCAGCAATTCCAGGAAGGGCACAGTTTCTTTGAAAGCATTTTGTGATTGTTACTGGAATTTGGGGATGGCTGTAGGTAGTTTGGTTTCTGCAGCTGAGAACTCAAAGCAGCAGCAAAGGTTAAGAGTTCAAAGTCTTCTGAGAAAATGAGAAAGAAGGGGAGAAGACTGTCAAGCATTTAAGGGATTGAGAAGACTAACATAGCTTGATCTTGTAGTTTCTTTCATTTACTCAGCACTTTAAAGACGCAAAGTGGTAATTGGACTCAGTAAAGTCTCTAGGACATTTTGTCAGTGCCACTCTCAGAAGGCTGATCCTCCAGAGCTGGCCCTGCTGCTTTTTCTTTGTCTCTTTACAACACGTGTGCTCACATGGTGGGCAATGTCTGACACACTGCACCTGGAAAGGAAACCCTAAAATGAGAGTGGATGCAGCTGAGGAAGTGGCTACGTGAGCTCCTCCATGGTGCCTTACAGCTCTGCTTTACTCCCGATTTGGAGGAATTTTGTTCTACGGGTGAACTTTACCTCTTGGAAAATGCTTTCTATCAATAAGGACTGGTAACCACTTCACCTAATCACAGCTGGAAAATTCCAGTGCAGAGGACTTCAAGAACAGGTTAAACCTATGGCAGGTAAGAACAACGTAGCTCTAGCTGGTAGCTTCTAGCATGAAGTTGGGAGAAGAAATACAGAAGGTCCCCTGAGGCCCATCCATCCCCATTTCCTATAGTTCATACCACATGTTGCAGCCCATACAGACCTCCTGTTTGTTAAGTTTACAGAGAAGGTAAAGGCATTTTGCCAAGCATAGACACAGAAAGTAGATGGACACTTTGACAAAACTGATCATGCAATTCTGTGCCACCACATCCAACCACTGAAAAGTCACAAAATGGAAACAGCTTGTAGTCTGGAGTAAGATTCAAGGCAGCAAAGGATAAAAAAAATGTGCATGTTCTAATATTGGCTTCTCATACCATCCCACTGCCACTGCTTTGCCAGCCACCTCCACAAAGGATGAGTAGTTTCTGTCACGGAAAGCAGGTACCTGATACATAAAAAAGCATTAACAGTCTCTGCTTGTGCCTGCCTAGCCTGGGTGAGAAATGGCCTGACTCACTCAGAAGTGCAGGTGGCATGAGTGTGCAGAACTGATAGAGAGAAACAAATCATAGCAATGACATTTGCATTTATTTTGGGTGCACAGAAGACCCAGACTCCATTTTGTTTCACTAAATACCACAGACACAAAAATAACTGCAGCTACAGCCAGAACTCACCTTTTCTGAGTAGTGTGGTGGTTTGTTTTGTAATTGTCTTTCCTTCTGCTAATCACACATGCTGTGCTTTTGCCCACAAGAACTCTCTGCCCAACTTCAACCACACCTGCAGTCAATTGCCCAGCTATTCCCATCACAAGAACTCCCATGGGACAGCAGAAACCCACCTGGGAGAGCCACAATGGAAGCAGCTGCGTGAATGTCTGTCTCTACTGCCTGCCAGGATTTTCTCTCCTCTCCCTTCCTCCTTCATCAATTTGTTCTGCATGCTCTGTATTCCTACCTGGAAGTGGAAACCAGCATCCCCAAGTTTCCTTCTGAAAATGCTGTTCCCGCAATATTTGCTCTTTGACTGGCATCAGTGGTTTTGGGGAGATTTCCGAGCAGTCTGTTTGTGCACAACTCTGCCAAATTTCGCAGATGTTAGGAAGTTCAGATAAGACAAGAATCAGGCAGAGCTCTCTGCAAAATCCCCCACACTTCTGATCTCCACCATGCCTCTCCCCCCAAAGCTTCTGGCCCTGGCATGAAAACAGGACAGAGGAGGAGTGTGGATCTCAGAAGTCATTACTAGTTTTCAGCAGAGAAGATTCACTGATCCTATTGTGAACAGTCTGCTTCAGCTGGAGCCTCCAGAAACATGCACACAGCCTTATTCTGTCTGTGTGTGAAGGCAATAAGAATCTCAATTTGGAAACCAGTTAGCAGTACAAGTCATTAGGGGAGGTACTAAATGTTGCTGCTTTAATAGCTCGCTGATCATTTAATAATATTGCTGCTGCAGAGCATGGTGGCACCATTCGCCTGCTTTTGTTTTGCTTTTTGAAATTCAGGGTCATTCCACTTTGAAGTGAGTAGATTATCTCTCCTTCCCCCTCTTGCCAGACACTGCAAACTGCTTTAAATAATTAGGAAAAGGATGGCTCCTTCAAGTTCGTCGTCTCATTTTCATAAGGTCCAGTGTCATTGCTTTGGAACAGGAAGAGAAGCGGTGGTGGTGGCGAGGATTTGACAAGGGCAAAACAGTTAGCAGCCCCCACTCATCTTTGATAAGTCCTGCGGGGTCCCTGCCAAGCAGATTGGATCTCTGTTTTTATGTCTCATCTAGAGGATAGCACCTCCATCAATTTAAAACACCACACTGGGTTATTAGTTTATGGAATTCGTCCAAGTTTACTCCTAAGCAGGATTTAAAATCGTGACCTTCCAATTCAGACGCATCACTTATCAGACCCATGCAAGTCTTTTGTTTCCAAAAAACAGCTCTAAGTTATCTTAAAGACAGATTGAAGAAGGAAAAATAGGGAAGGGAGAAAGAGCGAAGGATTCACAAGGAGAAAGAAGGATGAATCTTTTTAATAGCTCAAATTAAGAACCAGAAGAAGCTCTTTGTTTGACAAAACTGAATTCTGCAGCAAATCTCTGTCCACCACTCAACAATCCTGTTATTTATGAAAAGAGGGATATTTTGTGTGGGAGAGTCCCAGATGACTGTGGTCAGTGAGCATAATGTCAGCTTTGTACAATCTCAAGAGAAATATGGACGAGGTTTTCTCGTCTCTTTATAACAGCTTCCATCAATGGATCAAACCCCTTCCTGACTTGAACAAGAGCTCTAATGGAAAATGGCATTACACGGCTTTAAAGCACAGTGCTATATCACACCCTGCCTGATCAGAAACAGTCCTCTATTTCAG